AAGAAAGAAACAGAATACCACTCCAAACTAATGAGAGAGACATGAATAAATTGATAAGAAATGTGCAGCAATTTTATTGAGTTAGATTTCTATAATGAAAATCAGAAGCAGATGGAACGTATGAATTGAAGGAAAAGAAGAAAGAAGAGAACTAAAGCAATGGAAATAAAGGACCCAAAAACGATTGTCGGGTCAATATTTTAGAAATTGATTTTTAGACCAAATGGGTCATAAATTTTGAAATGTTTTAAAAAAAATCCATGTCACGTTTGCCATGTCGGCAGACTGTTAAAAAGGAGCAATTTTAAACCTTAAAAAAACGTTAAGGGCATTTTTAAATCAAAAGGTGGAAGGAGGGCATTTTTGAACCATTTGGAATACGTTGAGGGCATTTTTAACCCTTCTCCCTATTTAATATCCTAGATACATTTATCTAATGTGATTCGAATGTATATGAGATACTCTTGATTCTTTTGTCTATCTTCTATTTCGCTTCATCCCTCCTCTCTCGCTCATGCTTACCTCGCATCTTTTGTATTTGTATTTTGAAAAATAATTATTATACAAGTACCCTCCCCCAATCTATGTCTGAAATCACAGAGACGCACTTATATTATATTAAGATCTCATTACCCCCTGAACTTATTTTATTCGGCCTACGTGGCACTATACCTATTACACCCCTGAACTTATTTTATTCGACCTACGTAGCACTATCTTGTGGGCCCAGCGCGTATTGACATTTTCTTCAAGCAAGTGTCACGTAGGTCTAAAGGATAGAAAATTATTTATAAAATAAGTTTAGGGGTAATAGGACCTTAGTATAGTATAAGTGTGTCTCTGCAATTTCAGACATAGATTTGGGGTACTTATGCATTTTCTCAAAATTATATAATAAATTAGTATTTATGGTAGAAATATTTTAGTAATTAGGTCATTTTTCCTATTTTAAATATCTTTTAAGCCTAGCATTAATTTATAAAAAAAAAATCAAATTAAAGCATATCATTTTTCTTATGATATTTCAATTTGTTCATACAATGGAAATAATTTTACATCAAGTTATTAGTAGTAAGAGTATTATCGAACTAAATTATCAACAGAAAGCATTTTTTATTCTTTTTTATTAAAAGTCTTAGGAATATGTTCAAAATTAACATGATTCACAATAGAACACCAATGTCATATCTTCACATACATTTACACTTCCGACAGAACTTGTATAGTTTTCTTCAACTTACTTGTCATGCATTATGAATCATTTCATATCTAGTTTTCTTGATTACACATTCTTCAACAATAATAATGAACCCTCAACGATTTTGATATCGAAACCCCCCTGAAAAAGACATTCTTTCGTGTATACTTGGTTTTTGAAGTTAAGGTAAGTTGATCATCACAACAATTTTTATATAGTATCGTTTAAAGATATGCGTATTAGTTTCAGGATGAGGAGCTAGAAGTAATATGAACTAAATTGTTATGTATTTATTCATTTGCAGTATTACATGTGATTTGTTTTTGTAATTTGTTATAAGCATATATCATTAATTTTAGTGTTATAGAGAGCGTCATATTATTAAATATTTGAATAAGTCAATCATGAAGCAACACTAGATAATCAAGAATGTCATATGACATTATAATCACTCAATGTTTGTTGTTTCAAGTCTTTTCCCTATTACATAATATGAGATATTATCGTTATTTGATTACTTTGTAGGAGTGTGAATCTTTGTTGTCGTGACGTTGATATATATTTTCATATAAATATCTATGTATCATTTATGAATATTTATGTATCATGTAACTTTACTTGATGTTCTAATTAACTTTGAAACCAAAGTAAAAGGATACATCAAATTGATATGGCCTATCAATTACAAGCGCATAAACAGAAAAACAAACAATTAATATAGGTTGAATGGATAGAAAATCTCTTGAACTTGTCAAAAAGTTCACTGAGACACATAATTGAGTTGTCTATATAATATATGTACTCATTATTAGATATAAGTGTTAATATGACATGAAATATGAAATTTGAAATTTATGTTGTATAAGGTTGATTTAATGGGGAAAACGTGTCCTTATAAGAGTTTTTTCATATTTAGAGTTCGAAATTGAGACCTTTAATTAAAGAAAGTAAGATTTTAAATTAATATCAATTTAACATCTTTGAGCAACCTTGTATGTGCGGCAAAAATAACATACTTGTGTTGATGTATTTTATGCAAAAACTCCGCATTTTATATGTTATATTATACTCTGTTTCATTTTACTTGGTTCAAATCTAAGTTTGACTACTATTACTTTATATTGTTATTTACTATAAGAGTAATATTGGAAAAAAATAAATAAACTTTTTTTGATTTGATGAAATGTCCAAATTAAAAGTTTTTGTAAGAGCTAAGACAAAATATGTTTGGAATGAAAATTTGAAATAAATTTGTTAATTATAATGTTTTCACAAATTTACTCAAAGCATTATAATTAGCAAGTTTAGAGGGTGTTTAAATTGGCGTAAAAGTTGGTCAAACCTACATTTAATTCAATTTTTTACTTTTGAAAGTGTTTGGTAAATATAAAAATGTAACTTAAAATAAGTCAAAGATGACTTAAAATAAGCGTAGAAATATTTGACAAGGTCAAAAATGACTTAAATAAATTTAAAATGGCTTTAAAAAGTATAAAAAAAAAAAGTAGACTTCCCTTACCTTTTATTATTTACTTAAAAGTCATTTAAGTTGGACTTAAAAGCTACTTTTTAAAGTCAATTCAAACAGACTCCTAGTCAAAGAAAAATTAGTAAAGAACTTAGTATTTACTAGATATTAATTCATTTTACTTGACATAAATATGATCCAATATGTATATATTGCATCCCTTTTCTCTATATATACTCACTTGCATTCACTTCATATATCAAAGCAACAATTATTTAAGAAATTAAAATGGCCTCCTTTTTTACTCTATACTTTTTTCTTTTAATACTTGTTTCAAATATTTTCAACTTTCAAACCTCTTTGTGTGACCTTCGTGCAGACGAAATACTAATAGAAAATATATGTAAACAAGTACAAGATCTACAATTTTGCTTAAGCACTTTCAAACAAATTTTACATCCATATGTCCCTGATGAAATAACGCGGGCTTCTCTTAGTCAATCGTTACAAAATGCTAACGACAACCATGCCTTCGTATAAAAAGCTAAAGCAAAAGCAAAAGACAAAGAGCTCCAAGATTTATATGCCGTTTGTGTAACAAGCTATGAATTGTTGACAAGTTTCCTCCAAGATTCTATTCAATCATTGGCTAAAAAGGATTATAATGGCTTGGAAAATTCACTCTTTAAGTGTCCCAGACTTGTGAGTGCCTGTCAGATTGCACTTGGTAGCAAGACAACACCTGAAATGTTAGATAGGAGTAGAAAACAATTTGATCTAGTATTAATGGCAAAAATTGTTGA